ACCAAAAAACAGAGGTATAAGTACATCTACCCTGATTGGTATCAAAGCAAAGTTTACCAAGGGAGGTTTAGTGTGATGACGAATTGTTTTTGAACGCATAAAGGTGGGATGTGACATCATTTTTCGCATGTTCAAAGGGCTTAGATGGATATATCGGCTTCATATTCTCAATTATTATAATATTAGCTACGTTAAAAGTCTTTTTAACAGCAGCGCTTATTCTTTGTCTAGTTATCAAGCTGCTATGATGCCCCATGTAGGGTAGCCTGATGTACACGTCCTTCTTAGCGGCGAGTTGGAGAATGGGTCTTGGTGTTCTGACTACTACATCTCCTGATGAACTTATCTGGATAATTATTATCAACCAGAGTTTGCGTCAACTTTCTCTCTTCTTCATCAAGTGTGTCTTCAGAGAATATTCGTTGGATTCTACTGAACAGGCACCTTACTAAGGCTGTTTTGTACCGAACAGGGCAGAAACTGTGGTAATTAAGATACTGTCTTGTTTTGGTATGTTTTCTTTAAATAGATCGTTTTATTGTTCCATCAAGTCGTTGATTAAGCAATCTATTTAGGAAAGATAAACACTTATCTTCCTCTTCTACAGACATAAGTGATATGCTTTTCTGAACTTCATTCATTCGATTTAAAACTGAGGTGTCAGAGCAAGGCTTATCACTTATGATTACAACGTCGTTTGCATGTCTTCTATAAAGCGATGCATTTTCGATTAAGTCTTCTGATAAACTTTCAATATATGACAAATAGACCTAAGTTTATTTTCTCACCTCTTAACTCTGATCTTCTTTTCCTGTTGGATCTTTTGGTCTTCACAACATCGAATGGAATGACTGTAACTTGAAAATCTCCATTAATTCATATAAAAGAAAAGGCGTTCAGCGAAGAGTTACTCTTTTTGGCAATATCATTCTCAAGGAGCACTGTCGCATATATATGTAGCAAATTTTCTTAGGACCAATCAGAAAGAAAGTTTTCTGTCAGTCACTCCGAGACTCCTTCGACTTTATCAACTCCATTGAAAACGTCATTGTTTCTAATCAAAACATTTTCTCACTAGACGTGGTATCACTGTTTTCGAGTGTTCCACTAACCAAAACAATATGCTACATATGAGAAAATATTGATTCAAAGGGGATAAACACTGGTATATCAACTGACTGTTTGAGGGAACTCCTGTTGAGATGCATTCTAAATGTTCAGTTCTCTTTCAATGACAAAATATATCGACAAAAGGTTGGTATAACAATGGGCTCACCGCTGAGCCCATTGCTTGCAGATTTTTTCATGTCAAAACTAGAAAACACACACCTAAGGAAAATGATTGATCGCTTTGGGTTTTACAAGAGATATGTGGATGATACGCTCATTATCCCCAATAACGAGGAGAATTCGGAGGACATCTTGGACTTTTTTTAACAGCTGCAATCTTACGATTCAGTTCACATTAGAGAAGGAGTCCAACACAAAATTATATTTTCTGAACGTTCACTTAACAAGACGTGAATGAGATGAAACACCAAAAAGATCAATCTACAGAAAACTGACGTGAAGTGAACAACTCACTAACTTTCATAGCTTATTATCTCTGTATACAAAACGAAACAGAATCCACGGAATTAGCAGCCCTGACACTGAGGAAGAGGAGCTGTACACTCTGAAATGAATTCTCCTTGAAAACGCCTACCCTGAGCGTTTTATCACAACATCCATGAAGCTTAAACCACTGAAACCTCACACACTTTCTGCTCCCAGAAAACGTCTTTGCCTGTAGAGTCATCATGAAAAATACCGAAAAACCGCCTGTTCCGCTCACTGAAGAAAACCTTCTTCTCAACTGAACTTCGACAAACCTTCCCCACAAAACTAATGATTTTCATGAACATGAAGAATAGGCTACCTCCTCTGAGTAGCATCATCAATGTGCATCTATGAATACACCTACTCATGTGAAGGTAGGTATATTAGATATTTGGAGGCAATCGGCAGGAATGCCTAGCTGTACCTAGGTTTCGTGTTTGTTGGCACTCACTAGTCAGCAAGGCATATCTGCAACCTTGAAGGAACTCATGTCCCTTCTGAGATTCGAACCCGCGTCACACAGTGTTGCAGTCAAAGACGTTACCGCTGAGCTATTCGCGTTCGCAATTGACCTCCTGTAGGACTGTAGTGGGTAGTTTGATTGGACATTAGTAACTAATGTGACGTGTCTAGTCCTTTCTTTGGTGGCCACCATTCTAGGTAGCTCACCATCACCTTACTGATAGAATTCAGTCTGCACCAAAGAAATGACTAGACACGTCACATTAGTTACTAGTGTCCAATCGAAGTTGGTATGTTGTCTGTACTCAACGTTCGCTATCCAGAAGTATCACTGAACACTTACCCTAATGGTAGCTCCATCCTGAAACACCTGATCGAAGAGTCTACACACCAAGCTAACCCACAAACCAACTACAGAGTCATCTAGGCAGGAATCTTGATGAAAGTGTACCAGTCAAACTTCTTCAAATCGCAGAAGCAATGACAATTTTTACATGTTAATCCTGAACTCTGAATACAAAAGAAGTTTGTTCAGTCACTAAATTGACAGTAGACCAAATACGTAATTCTTGTTGTTTTTTTGTTTCTTAATTGTCTTATTTTCTTCCCTCAACCCGCGCTATTAAATCTCTACCCCTTATTACTACTGTTGTTAACTTAACTCTTGTTCAGTTAATTTTAGTTGAATTTTGCTCAGTCCCGTCAGTCATATTAAGTTATTCAATTTAATTAATTTAATTGTAGTTCCTATCCAATTAACAATTCCAGTGATACATCTTTGGAAATATTCCTTTTATTGCTAAGATAATAATTTACTGTGTGTGTATTGTGTGCGACTGTACAACTTGAGACTGATATCGCTGAAGTGATTGTATCACCTTGTATGCTATAGTAATTTCAAAAAGGACCTTAGTATTTATTCTAGGCGTTATCTGAAAGATATTCTTCATAATATATAAACAGAGTGAATTTTCCGTACTATGTAAAGAGAGAATTAGATGTAATATTGTGCATTAGATGCTGTAAAATTCCATATTCATTATACCAAAAGTATTGTTTTTACAACTATTATTATTAATATTATTTGTCAGCCTTATGAACCTTTGTCTGGTCTGTCTGTAGTATTCATACTGTCTCTCTTTCTCTCACAACACTAACTACACTCACCCTTGAAATCTGTACTTTTCTATAGTTTGGTTTGTAAGGGTTAGTTATGTTTTTACGAGGTGATCATGGATTGATATCAGTTAGAGAACCCTTTGAAAACCAACCAGGGAGTACTGGACAGCTGTTTCATCCTACTCCCTGGTTTTCAGTGGTTCTCTATTATTATTATTTTTATACCCTTTAATTCCTAGAGGAACATAGGGCTTCAGCTGCATGTCTCCATTCCGTTCGGTTCTCTCCTACAGTCGTCACCTAACTCCAAGTCTGCCTAGTTTAGGAAACATCAACAGCATGCACCCACTGCCAGCCTTGGAACCCAGTATCTTCCAGTTGCTAGGTAAGCTAGCTCGTATACCATTCAACCACTCTCTGGGACCAAATTCAGTGGCTAGCCCATGCATGAACTCTAACTTCTACCATTTCGTGATGCATTTAGCGCGAATATAACCAGCCAGTGTTATCGGTGAGAACTCCATTCTCACGCCCTACTGGTCACGACTTTTGACTAGAACTGCAGGCGATTTCATCCTGTAGCCAGTTAGTCACTAGTGAGCGTCAGATTAATTTTCAAGAATCCCTACAAACCAATTCTTGATGAATCGGACAAACGCTGAGGAGACTGTCGAATGAAACCACACGTCAGGCCATTTCTCGAGTGGAACTTAAATGGAAGACAACTAGTGGGGCATCCGAGGGTGACATGGAGGAGATAAGACCCTATGACCAATAGTGGAGCCAGCTAAAGAGAACCACAGGGAATAGAACAAAGAGATGACTGCTGATGAAGCCCTGTGTTCCACCTCGGAACCCAAGGTAACAACAATAATAAAATAGTTTGGGACTCTTCATCAGTACGCACCCACCTGGTGGGGTTCGAACCCAGGACCTTCTGGTTACAAGGTGAGCTCGTATACCATTAAGCCACTGGGACCCGATACAATGGCCCATGATTTCTAACTTCTGCCAATTCACGATATAGCGCGACCCCTAGCCAATGTCTTCGGCGAGTATTTGTCCTCACACCCGACCTGCTGCACCCTACTGGAATTCATGGGCCATTGGATCGGGTCCCAGGGGCTTAATGGGATACGAGCTCGCCTTGTAACCAGAAGGTCCTGGGTTCGAATCCCGGTGGGTGCGTACTGCTGAAGAGTCCCAAACACTGGAAAGAAAAAGCTGGCTGTCCAGTACTCCCAGGTTTTCCAATGGTTCTCTAACTAATGTCAGCTTATGATGAAAATCCTGTAACCAATCAAATCCCTACAAACCAACACTTGAATATTCCTCGTAATTATCATTTGACGTTGTTATTTTATTACAACTAACATTCTAACTAGTTCAGCTAACTTCTATACTCAATCCTTGAAATTCCACTTTATTAAACAATTTATTACCCAATAATCACTCACTAATAGTACTTCTGAGTTTACACTAAATCATCGTTATTATTTTATCATTGTAACCGTTGTCCGTAGGACGAGCTGGGTACGGCTAAACGAACTTGTGAAATCATTTGGTAGATAGACAGTTGAACATAAGGAAGAAATTCGCTAACAGTATTATGTCGGATTGTAAGCATCCTCCCTGTACACAACTGTCTCCTTGCATCTCGTCAAGTAGGGGAACTAGAAGCAACCATAGAACACTATTACTCGGATGATGCAACAGTCCTTCCTCCCTCCGCCTTCTGTTTCATGTCAGGCAGGTCAGCCAGTGTACGAAGTCAACGAGGAAGAGAATTGTAAGACAATTCACAGTAAAAAATACATCAATTCGAAAGAAAATTTTTATTAAATATATATATAGATATATTCTCTTTACATACAAATGATATACTGAATCACAAACACAGGCACACGCATACGCACACAAGCATCAATACACAATATGAGGAAACTCTCATTAAGATCAGTCATAATAATAATAATAATAATAATAATAAATAGTGAATAGTTCTCACAAGACACTGTGATACGGAAAAAAATGGTTTGTGTTTAAAAGCAATGTCACAACAACAATAAAAATTGAAAAAACAAACAACAAGACAACCCGCCCCCCAGAAAACTCTGTGTGGTAGGCATGGTTATATATACACTTCCACACACACACAAATTCTTAAAGGGAAGACAAATAATATTATCATCATTATTATTGTAGCGTGAATAGTAACAGTGCTCATAGGATTACGTAAGAACGTGTTTGTTTATCTTTGTGCGCGCGCGCTTTCAATCAGAAATCACTCTTTTACTGTGTGTCACAACAAAGTAATGATGCCGGAATAAAAGTAACAATTACGTAATCAAACTACTCATCCATCCACCCACACATACACACACACAAGATAAGGAAGTAACACAAGTGAATTAGTACAGAGAAGGACAATAAATTTACATGGATACACATTCACATCAAGTTGTTCTGTTGCACATCATAATCGATAAGTGATATAACTAGAATTTACTGTACCCTTTCCAACGTCGACATCGACATGTCATGTCAAGTAAACACAAGAGTTATGACACAGAAGAAACCTCACTACCTTCTCCTTGATGTTCTTCGTTTTTACGTTTTCGTACAGAATACAGAATACACTTGGGCGGTGGGGTAGTGTGGCAAAGAGTTCAAAGTGTAGGACTACGCAATTATCACCACATGTACACGCACAATAATAATAATAATAATGATAATAATAATAATAATGTTGATATTGATAAAAAATCTATTCTGAAACAATTATCGAAATATTGATAAAGGAGAGATTTGTAAACGAGAAGAAGAAGGGGGAGAGAACAGCACAAAACAAAAGGCAGTCTGGCGAGTCAATGAAACCAAAAAAACAGCAGCACAAAAACGAATGATTGTAATACCGACGATTATGATAATGATAATAATAATTATTATAGGTAATCGATAAAAATGTAAACTTTAACAGAGACACTAGTGATAATACAATATTATATATATATGTGCGTGTGGAATATAGAAAAGTCTTAAATATGCAATTATTCACAACAATGATGGACACACATCATTACAAGACAGACAGACAAACATACAGACAGACAAACACTCACACACGCACATAGACGCATTGAGAGAAACGAAAGACAGATGGTAACAGGACAAAGGAACATAGGAGAAGAAGAACAACAGGAAATAGCGATAGATACGAATGGATGGACCCAATGTACACAGAAAAGTAAAGATATAGATAGATAGATAGGTATATAAGGTAGGTAGGTAGGTAGGTGTAGGTATATATAAACGCTGAAATGTACACAGGGCGCACACTCACACACACAAACACTGAGCAACAACGGCAACGACAACAGCAATAATGTCTTTTATACAAAGAAAACAACAATGGCACTCATTTTCTTGTCACCTCTTCAACGGTTACAATAAGGAGAGCACAGATATTATATATGTGTATATTCATAATAATAGTAATAATAATAATAATAATAATAATATTGAGAATGTACACCGCCTTATATATTATATAACGTAGTCATATCCTTCACAAACAGTTTGAGAACACTTCATGACTGTGTTTGCAAGAGGACAACAACAAGTGTACCTCACACCTGAAGAGGTTGTCATCCATCGGAGAAATAGTAGGAGTCGTTGAAATGTGTGTGTGTGTACGAATGTTTATTACTGGATAATTAAGGCACAATTCCTGCAATTATCTCTGCGTATCAAGTACCATATCAATAGGAATTAGGATGAGAGTTAGTTAGTTAGTTAGTTAGTTAGGCAAATAAATCGAAGGAAAGCATAAACAGCATGATAGTCTCACAGTTGAGTTGAGAGTAGACACAACAAAACAAAAGAAGAGAATCAGGAAAGATTGGCGAAGAAGACAGTCAGAGAGAATGAGGGGAGGGGTAGAGGCCATGCCACACACACACGCAGAGGAGACACAAGAATTCGAAGAAAAAGAACAACAACCATTCCTACAACCTTACCGTCCATCCATCCACCATAGTCTAAAGATAAAACACTACTAATGGAATGTTTGAAAACAATTTTTTAAATTAAAAAAAGACATTACTCAAATAAACCATCTGGATAAATGTGGAACGGGGGGAGTTAGGGGAAATGATTACAGAATAAAAATAATAATAATAGTAATAATCGCAGTAGTAGTAGAAGTGCTCGTTGTCATCGCCATCGCAGGAGACTAATCAACTAATCAATCTGGTTCACGAAATTGACTAACTTCTTGGAATATTTTTTTCTTCAATTGTCTAACCGGCAGATTGTCCAATTCTTCTTCAAAACTGAAAGGTTTTTTAGCGACAGGCTATAAAAATTTTTTTTTAAAAAAGAATGAAACGGAAGCATTACTTATTTATTTAAATAGGTTAAGAGCTTAGAGAAAAATACAGTCAGTATTAACAACCGGGAGTTCCTGAAAGGTTGTTTCAGCCTAGTTTGGGACTTTGAAGCTGTAAGTACCTGGTCACTCACTCTTCATCGATAGGCACTGGGTCCGGGATGTTCGAATTACACGGCGACCCTGCTTAAGCTACTGGGTTTACCAGAACTTACCCATTCATCGAAATGCTACTTAAACTCTTCTGAAATTCTTATTCTTTTAATTATGTAATTATGTCAAATAATCACTACATGAACTCGCGCGCACATATTTAATTAGCTTCTAATTCAACATTGTACAATTCTTGAAGGAAATGAAGAAAAAAATCGACTGATTTGGTTCTCTCTGCATATGTGACAACACTATGTTACTTACGAAATCTCACCACGGATACAAAAGGTTCGTTTTACATTCGCGAACCAATATACGTCATCTCTGGTTTAGCAAACGTGATATCCAGGTGGCTACCGACTAAAGGAAGTGTGTACTGCTCAGAAGTAGTTTGCTCCGTCATCCTTTATGCTTGGCTGTGAGTGAGACATGGTCATTGAGAGTGAAAGATATGAAAAGGCTAACTGGCTGTCTTTGATCATAGGTGTCTGCGTTCTATCTCCCATGTGAAGTAGTATAATACGATGAGTAATATTGAGGTTAGGCATCGGTCGAGTGGTAGGTAAGGAGGAGAAATCAATCGACGAGATTGTGAAGTCACGCCAATTGAGGTGGTTAAGACGTGTGTTGTCCATTCCTAACCATCGCCTTCCTCGACAATGGGCGACGTTAGCCAACACAGTACACATAAGATTAGGTTGGAAAAGAGATAGTAGTGGTGGTCGAACCAAAAGATGACTTCATCAGTCAATCAAATAGACAACAATTAGTTTAAGCCAACCAGACACACGTTGGGAGGTAGGTGTAAACTGTCTGACTGGTCTGGGTCCTCGGCATGGTAAAAACCAGTGGGCAGCTAGAGATAATTGCTGATTGAGATGGCTCAAAATCGTTCACAATGGTGGAGATGCATTCACTCCTTGTGATTCATTATATCCAATAAAATTCTATTGCTCTTCCATACTACTATTCTTTTTCCCTCACTAACACTTCTGTTTATCTCTTTTCTCTTCCTTTGTGTGCTATACGGAGGGAGTGTGGCAACTCGAACTGCTACACTTCTACGGAAAGTTCTATGTTGAAGCCAGTTAGTGAGTCAGTCAGTCTACGTCACAAGATATACTTCAGATGATTATCACTTTACATGTAAATCCTGTATGAAGAGGAAATATTTTGGAACTGAATATGCTTAGAATTTCTGTACTGTATGTTTACATACTGTCTGAAATATAGCTTTATTATTATCATTAGTTTTACTTCAATCAAATGCCTGCTCTCATGACCCATTTAGCCTAGTCAATAAAGCTATGGCATTTGAAACGATGGTTAATAGGTTCTAGTTTCAATGTGAACACCATTCATCACTCACTGGATGGATGGATCGATAAGCAGGTACACATACAGTGATGAGTCCCAAAAAAGGACGAAACACGTCTCGAATAGACTCCACCGTTAACCACCACCATTAAACCAAGAAACATGTTGTGACATATAATATTTAAAACACTCATGAAAAATAATAATAATAACAATTAGAATATTTACCTCGTCACTTGGATCATAATAATGCTCAAAATAAGGATGAGCTAATGCTTCTTCGACAGAAATACGTGTCGTTGGATTGAATGTGAGTAAGCGATCCAGTAGATCGATTGCTGTTCAAAAAATTATAACATAAAACATTGTGAATTAAAAGTAACAGCTAGATAGGTAGAAAATTATCTCAATCATTGTTACGATATTTACGATCATTGCTGCTGTTATTCTGAAGAAACGCGTACTGTACTGTACTTGTTCTAGCGTGTGACACTACGTCATCAGAATCAAAAACCAACCACCTTAAATATTCGAAATCAATCATTACTACTCTCTCAGGTTCCGAAAGTGGAATATAGGACTTCAACTGAAAGCCAATCTTCATTTCACATCCTTTTTCCACAGTTCTCTTTAACTGGTTCCACACCGATGTCCACAATCTTTCATTTCTTCCTCTCATGATCTAATCCTCCATACCACCCTCGTTGTTTTCCATTCGGGTTATTCTCGACAGCCTGTCTAACGTGTGATGTCACTCAACAGTCTACTCGCCGCGAATGGTAAATCCATCAATCCCTATTTCCTCCTGCATATTTATTAGGTGATAGATGTTTCACTGACCTGAAGGTCCTGGACGCAATCCTTATAGGTGAGGTGATCGACGACTACTGCAAAAGTGTGCCATCATCAAGGGCAAAATTGGTGTCCAGTAGTACCTGATCTTCAGTAGTTATCTAAGTGGTGTGTCAGTTCACTATCAAGATTGAGAACGATTGATCCATAAAATCCTTACAGACCAACGCCTGTAAAAAAATTAATTCGAATAGTTTACTGAGTAAAATGTCCCCCAATGCCATAGATAGTTCAACGATAAAAATGCTTGCTAACCACGTGTACATGCCGTTAGGTTAGTTCGATTTCCGCGACAGACGCATTCCTAAACTCTACTGTCAAATGGCTCGCCGACATTTTCCTACTTATCAGAAATAAACTTTGTCAGCATAGTATTGTTGATTTGGATTCATTTAAATTCGTTTATTCAGTACTTACTTGCTACTCACTTACTTTTCTCTCTCATGTTCCCAGTGGAAAATAGGATGCCTTCATGCTAGAGGATTGAAGTTTCGGTAGCAGTGGTGTTTACTTGTACGGAATGGGGTTGCTAGCCTCATGGCCAACCTCCCCTCTTTACCAGTCTTTTTACTGGGCTGAGTGAGGTAAAGGAGTACGTCGGCCAGGGATCAAACCCCGAACTACGTGAGGCGTGGTTGGCGAGCATTCTACCGCTGTACCACCGACTCACGTCGATTCAATAAATTACGCTGATGTATCCGGGAAGAAAATGATGTCCATGGATGTGACATCTCTTTTCACTATCAATGTTCCTCTCACTGAAACTATTTACTTTATGTACAGATTAATCGGGAATAATTTTGTAATTGGATTTATTCAATAATTTAATAATTCCAATTGTAGCATTAAGAATGCAATATTCAGCGAAGAGACTCTTTTCAACGAATTTATTATCAAGCTGTTTTTAAGAAATTATATCCGGTGAGGGAATTAGGCCAAAGGTGTGAATACATGAAATAATAATAGGAGTAGTAGTATGTAATGCAATTAAAATATTTGTGATTATAACCATAGTTAAATGTTAAGTGGCAAGACAATTAGTGTCATATATAGAATAATACATAAGGTGTATAAATGTTGGAAAGGGGTACATAATTATAGGATTACTAGGCGAATATAAAATGTTACATAACATCGTGTGAAATTTGATAAGAAGGGATTCAACACCACAAGAAAAATTTTGGAGTTAGAATAACAAGTGGGACAAGATGAAACAGTTCAAAGTGGAGCTTTGCACACACTACATTCCTCCCTTGTAAAACCATGCTGCTGGAATATGTTCTCGTATCCGTGTGGAAAGCGGCATTCTCTGTCTACGGCCAATGTACCTTGTTCCACAAAAGGAAAAAGGAAGTCTATGCGGAGCTCTATTCTAGAACACCTGATTAACTCTTGTCACTCTGCCAACCCTCATCATGATTTTAAAATCATCTACCGAATCCATGCTAACTTGCTGGTCGCATTTTCTTCGTTACAGACTTCTAAAGACAACTGAGGCTTTGGCTATTCATTCATGACTTTAGACCAGACCTTTGCGTACAAAAGAAGTATGTACAATCCCCATTTCTGCCTTGGTCGTAGAGGGATAGACATTTATTTATGTATGTATTTTATTTATTTAGTAATTCTATGTACGATTACTACGATTATTATTATTATTATTCTCACTCTGAATTGTTTCCGCTTGTCCCACTTATCATTCTAAATCCAAAAAGAAGACTTTTTACAATATTGAATTCTACCATATCAAATTTCACACCACGTTATGTGACATTTTATATTCGTCTACTAATCCTATAATTATGCACCCCTTTCCAACATCTATACACCTTGTGTATTATTCTATATATGACATTAATTATTTTGCTACTTGACATTTAACTATGATTATATTCACAAATATTTTAATTGCATTGCATACTACTCCTATTATTATTTCATGTATTCACACCTTTGATCTAATTCCCACACCGGATATAATTTCTTAAAAACCGGGTATATATACGATTGTGTGTGCGGTTAGGACGCTCGCCGACCATGCACATGGTCCGGGGTTCGATCCCCGGCCGACGAACTCCTTTACCTCGCTAAGCCAGAAATAAAAGCTGGTAAAGGGGAAAGGTTGGGCATGAGGCTAGCAACCCCATCCTGTAAAAATAAACACTGCTAAAGAAACTTCAAGCTTCTAGCTTGAAGCCCTATGTTCCACTGGGAACGTGAAGGAATAAAAAAAATACGATTGTACAGCTAAATAATAAATTCGTTGTTGAAAAGAGTCTCTTCGCTGAATATTGTGTTCTCAATACTAAACAGTCGTTTTATCCTAGTTCTGGATCAACACTGACATTAAGTATGGTCGAAAACGTATTCCGAAGACATGAACCTCAACAGCTATCATTCCACATTGATCAGAAACGTCAGACAATATTAGAAGAATACTCACTCAATAAGCACAATATCAGAGTTTTCTTCAAAACATCAAACACACCACGAAACCACCTTGTCCATATAAAAGACCAAATTCCTAAAGATCCTCTACCTAATAGTGCCTATGAAATAAACTGCTTGGGATGTGATGCGATATACATTGGACAAACATCACCAGAGAGAAATTAAAATCAAAAGAAATGAACACCATAGAGCCGCCTCTATTCGACCACCGAGAACGCCAACTGAACTAGAGAAGCTTGAAAAATCACCAGCCATTGGTCATCTACACACGACGTCATAAAATCAGGTCAAAAAATTGATTTTGACAATTTTGAAATAATTGAGAAAGATTTCAGAAATCATAAAGAACATCTCACATCATCAGAAGCACTTCACATCAAATGGAATCCAAATTGTCTGAATAAGAATGATGAACTGAAAAAGAATTCGACCTGGCTTCAACACCACTTACACACATACACTCATGAAATGACAAAATCAACACGAATTATTAAATTATTGAATAAATCCAATTACAAAATTATTCCCGATTAATCTGTATATAAAGTAAATAGTTTCAGTGAGAGGAACATTGATAGTGAAAAGGGATTTCACATCCATGGACATCATTTTCTTCCACGATACATTAGCATAACTTATCGAATCGACGCGCGTCGGTGGAACAGCGGTACAATGCTCGCCAACCACACAGAGTTGGCCAGGGTTCCACCCCCAGCCACAGACGCACTCCTTTACCTCACTCAGCCCAGTAAAAAGACTGGTAAAGAGGAGAGGTTGAGCATGAGGCTAGCAACCCCATCCCGTGCAAGTAAACACCACTGCTACCGAAACTTCGAAGCTCTAGCTTGAAGCCCTATGTTCCACTGGGAACGTAAAGGAAAAAAAGTAAGTAAGTAAGTAGCAAGTAAGTATTGAATCGACGAATTCAAATGAATCCCAAACAACATTACATACTATGCTGACAGAGTTCACTTCTGATAAGCAGGAAGATGTCTGCGAGCCATTTTTGACAGTAGAGTGAAAATCTAAGCCACCTGAAACTCGCAAAACACTTCTATTCGCCTTTTTCCTGTCACACCAAGGAAATACGTGTTTTTAACTACTCTAGTAACTATTCATTAACCCCTATCCAATTGAAAGCTTTGTCGTTGAGTCCAAATTTCTGTGACATCTCGACAAATTCAAGTGACTTGGATAGGATAAAAAGAAGTCCAGTTCCAATCACACTGATCCATCATCAGATAAGTGTGATCTTCTCTCAGTGTGTCAAACAAATCATATGCACAATTCAATTCAATTCAATTCTACAGTATTGAATGAATGGCTGTCACAGCAGTATATGAATAAATACAAAAGCAAATGTCAAACGATTGATTTCATCTGACCAACACAGAAAGCAGCAACTACTTGAGATTTTAAGCAATAAAGACTTGATGTCGATTCGTCCCGATAAAGGCACTGGCATTGTCCGGGTGAATATAGCAAAGACTATGCCGATAAAATATTAATTATCCATCATATCAGATGGAAACCAAATTTTCAAATGAAAGTAACCAGAAAGGACAAATTGAAGGGAGGATAACACAAATGCTGAAGAAGATGAAGAACAAATTGATTATCAGCTCTGAATTATATGAATTCTGTAATTCCCCGGTTATATGCTCTACAGAAAATGCACAAAGTGAACGTGCCACTACGTTCAATCTTGGATATGATAAACTCCCAAAACCATTATTATTATTTCCTTTAATTCCTAGAGGAACATATGGCTTCAGCCGTGCGTCTCCATTGCGTTCACTTCTCTGCTAGAGTCCTCACCTCGCTCCAAGTCTGCCCACACGTTTTCATCTCGTCTTCACATGACCTCCTCCAAGTCACCCTCACCCTTGCACTGACGACCAACTCTCCGCTTCCCTTTCGGGTTCCACTCGAGCAATGGCTTGTCTATTGATGTCACTTGATGGTTTGTTTTCTCAGAGTATGGCCAATCCATCTCCATTTCTTCCTGTATATTTGTTTCACAGTTGGTTCCTGG